AAATGGAAAACGATCTCCCATTTGGTATCTAGTAATAGTAATAGTCCGCTTATATGGCGCTCACATCCAGGCACATTGCCTGCTCACGGCGCTACGTACATTACTATCCCCGATCATAGGACACTATCGTAGTTTCCGATACTTTTTCAACTCCTTGGGGACTGTACAGCCATGCTGCCTGTTAGGCGCAATGAACTAAACACTCACATTGCCAGCACATACTCACGGGTACCCATTTTACAGCTGGGTGAACTGAGAAAGTGTAGATCTAAGCATCTTGTCCAAGGATACTACGCAAATGTGCCCATCTCGGGAACCGAACCTCGGTGCCTCCTCGAAACCGGGCCTTCAGCGTGATAGGCAGACGCCTTACCACTGCACTATTGCCTACCTCTTGGATAATGGTATACCCTCAGATAATATCATATAAAATATATTCAGCATAGTATTGAATGACTTCCCGTCATCATCAACATTCAAAGATTTGGATTGCTTGATTTGCATTTAGACGGGGACTGTTTTTTTTAGGACACCCTCATTTTACATTTTCAAAAACATTGTGTCCAGATATAAAACATATTGAGAGCTGACACTTGTGTGATCATTCAGTATTTAGTTTGAACCCTTGACACCATGTATGAATAAGTGAAAACTTTAGGATGAGTTATATCGTATGATGACGTCAACTGAAAGGGGGTGGGTTGTGTCTCCAAAACAAGCCCTTTCAGTAAACATGAAGGGGGAGTCACTTGAACAAGCGATTATAGTTTAAAATTGCTTTTTTGTGCAGTTTAATATCTAAGTTTGACTTTTACCAACATACAACATGTTTTTGCATATTTTGTTTCAATTGGTGTAGGGGGATTCCCGCCAATACACCTTGATATAAAATTGGATCAAAATCTATTAATTCTCCCCTAAGTTCGCGGCTACCAAGCTTGGCACGTGCAAAACTGTTACACCTTCGCTGTGACCTTTAAAATGACCTCAAGGTCACTAAATTCAAGTGGTGTCGGTAAATCTCCGATCTCCAGTCAATAAACCTTGGTACCAAATTTGAACAAAATCCATCATTTCTTTCTCGAGTTCTTTCAGTAAACCGAAGGGGGGAGTCATTTGAACAAGCGATTGTAGTTTTGAAATTGCCTTTTTGTGCAGTTCAATATCTAAGTTTGATTCTAGCCGACCTCTACCAATCTCAAACATACAAAAATGTTTCTTGCATATTTTGTTTCCTGAAGTTTAATTTTTGATGCAGTTTATTGCTAGTCAGCTAGGCTATTCCATTTGTCCGAACCACAACATACGGAGACAGATCATTCAGCAGACCGGGTGCTGTACTCTGGAATTGATTACCTGAAAATGTCAGAAAATCGGAAAATATCATCAGTTTCCGATCTTGTCGCAAAACCATCCTCTTCAAACGAGCATTCGACTAAGCGCACATGAGCAGGCCTCTGGATATGTAGCGCTATACAAATGTCTAATTTGATTTGATTTGATTTGATATACCCGTAAGAAACGTCAATCCATTTCACTTGTGACGGTGAATCTCGCCAATAAACCTTGGTACCAAATTTGAACAAAATCCATCATTCTTTCTTGAGTAATCGCCCTAACAAGCTTATTTGATGTATGAAATGCAACGAAATATAAACACCCGCGTCTTTACGAGTGATTAAAACTGTTATTACAATTTACGTAAATATTTATTACATTTTACCGCAACGAAAATTATTACAATTTACGTCAATTTTTATTACAAATTACGTTTATATTACACTTTACGTCAAGTTTATTACACTTTACGTCAAGTTTATTACAATTTGCTACAAGTATTACAATTTGCGTTTTTATTACAATTTACGTCGTAACACCCGCGTCATTTAAAACCCTGCACCTAATTACACACACTCAATAGTTTTGGCTCCGGTAGATGGTACACTAGTACAGATGCCAATGTCCAGAGATATCCAAAACACCAATCATCCGATGACGACAACCACCAGTCTAACTTAGACTCAGTATTATTCGTTACACTGCTATATTGGGTCTAACAAAACCTTGTAACCTTTGAGCGACCTATGACCGTCCAATCAAACGCGAGACGGCCGAACGGATTTAACCAATCAGACAACGGCTACTATTTAGGGTTCGGCTGGACTTACAAAATGGATTTTCTCTTCCCCGTTCGCCAACACTGATCTCCAAACAAATGAAAATTGCATAAATAGAGAATATAGAATACTACACGAGGTCTCATAACATAAAACCGAATTATACGTTGCGAGTTCTTTAACTTGACAAAATAGTGTATATTTTATGTGAATTTTTTATGGTTTCAAACCGAAGCCGTTTTCAAAGAGGTTGCGGAAGAATGTTGTTCTGTAGTACGATTTGTTGCATGACGTCACACTGTAATGACGTCACTACGCCAGTTTGCTCGTCTGACCCCCTTGGTAACCGACATCACGATGCATGTCAGTTGTCAACGCCCCGTACAGTTTCCTCCTACATTACAAACAAGAGAAAACGGTCACGTGATATGTAGTGATGTTATGTTTCTTAGTTAGCATGTTGTTCTTACACTTGCATGACGTCACACTGTAACATTACTGGTGGAAACTTTGCATTTATGTCGCCCGATGCAAATACTCCGTGCATCTCAGTTCGACTCCCAGCGACAAGGCAACGTTCGCAATGTTTAGTTCGATTCCCACAATGCATTTAAGTTGTAGAATGAATGAATTCACGTTTTTGTTATGAATGAAAAAGTAGCTCCGTCACAACGTGACCTAATTGAGAGGTCAGCGGTTATCCAATCAAATCGTTAGAATCTCAGGTCAAGTCGTTACGACACAGGTCAGCGCGATACGACACTCGTGTGACGTACGAGATTAGTTTGCAACTACCTATACGTTGACCACGTAGGTAATACAACACAGATATTTGCCCTGCAGTATTTACGTTTTGGGGTTTCTGGTGACAGGGCTATCATTAGCTAGTATTTCAGCAAGCTGACATGCTTGAATACTGACAAAACGCTATTTTCAGTGACTGTTTACTCACATCTGTGGCGTGCCGCACTAGGAACCGATCGTACGGAAAATAGCATTCGGAATCGTTCGGTACAAACCTTTTGGAGGTAAAAGTTCAAAAGGTATGTGCGAATGTCAACTTGGTAAGATTTGGTAAGCTGTGTTCTGATTGGTCAATTGAAAAGGTTATCTGACGCGACCTTCCACAAGGTTTTGTTCCACTCAGTATAGCAGTGTAACGCATAATAATGAACCTAAGTTTACTTAGACTGGACAACCACCAAACGATAACGGTGACGCCACACGGTCAAATATTTTATGCTTGCAAGAATTACAATCATCCACATTTACATGGCAACATCATCGTTTTAGAGTGTTTAATTAATTTTCAATAATCTTATCTAGTTTGCATTATCCCTATTGCCTTGATGACGCGAATAAGCGGGCGAAACTTTTTAGTGGAGGGTCACCTTGGGATGAGTCGTGATGACGAAGTCAAGTGACGTCACTCATTCATAAACGTTCTCTTGTCTATTATTGCGCAGCTACTATGAGAAAATATGAAATTTGAATCTATTCGACCATAAAATGTTGCGATTTTATGGTGTGTTAGAAATAGATTACTGTACTCGTGTCTGTCAGATACCATTTATCTTAGAACTCGTAGTTTGAGAACGTTCTGTGGTGATTGGGGTCCTCAACTGAAGTTGAAGGCCATGACAGCCGAGACGGAAAGTGCCGGAGCCGATCACCACAGCGAGTTAATGGAAGCCATTTTGTAAATATACCATGCCTGATTCACGGGTCTACCTAAGATCGTAGATTTGGGCCTCAATACTTACAAGGTGCAAACCGCGGCTTACTCCATAGTGATCCGATATCGTAGTGAAGCCTGTCATCAATACAGTTCTAACGGAACCATCCCTTATTTGTATAAACATGGTATAGTTGGCCCACTGCTGTTTTTAAGATATTGGACACACAAATAGAGAACGTTATATAATATAGCTCTGAGGGGCGAAGTATAGATAGAAACTGATCATTTAACTGATTGCAAGACATTTCTCTACGTTGGTCCAAAAACACCAAATATTATAGATGGTGAATGTTGCCGATACCCTTAGTTTATATATGGATGCAGTCTGTCGCTGTATAAAATACTTAAAAGTATCCAACTGCGCAGCATATGTAATATGTTACTTAAGTTGGTCTTTGGAAAATGATTCCAAATACCGACCAAGTGTAATCCCCCCAATAAAATATACTCATGCCAATAATGGTTGTCACCCCTCCCCACCCCACCCCCTCTCCAATTAAAAACAATTAAAGGGGGTGACAACCATTATTGACATGAGTATATATATTGTATTTGACCACTTTCTAAAAGGCATCGTCTACAGAAGCGGATACAGCTTTTTGAGAAAGAGTGGGGATGCACACTCTTGAGAAGGACAAAAGGTGGGGGTGCGCACCGCTGCGAATTTGTAATTGGTGAGAGCTAACAGTAGGACGAACACTTGATGTGCGTGATCGGTAGTGTTCCATTCAAATACTTCCCAAAACTAATTTAAATATAATCAGGCCCCGATTTCTCGAAACAAACTTAATTTTTACTCAAATTTGAGAAAATGCATTTCCCAGAATGAACTGAAATCGATATTAAACTCAAACATAGTAGACAACTTGAGTTTGGTGAATAGAAGACTTAAGTATTTGGGGATTTTTTATTAAAAAAATGCAGCTGGGTTCAAAATTCAGCTGTTTCAAATTGTCCAACTCAGTTTGAAATTTGAGTAAAAACTTAAGTTTGTTTGGAGGAATCGGGCCCGGGACTTTATGACGATAGAGTTAACAAAGCGGAAAACGACTTATTTTCGTGCCATTGCTTTCTTTAAACTTGGAATGGATGTAGCCGCCTCACTGCTCCATTAATCATAACAAGTCTTGAGGCAATATACTTACAAGGACACAGAAGAGGTACAACAAACAGTAACGCCAAGCTCGTCATCTCAGTAGGTTCCGTCAGTGTTCAACGTTGCTCAACTTGCGTGGTCTGTCTGAATGATTCATTTGTCTCCTTGGAGGTATTGGATGCGTCTCGCGATCGATCGAAAGCTCTGCGTGGATCCATCCAGTGTATTGCAGGCAGCTAACTCGGTCACAGATATGTTTGTTTGGTTAAGCTGGTGTGCATGCGGGTGTGTCCGTGTATGTGAGTGCGTGCGAGTGCGTGCGTGTGTTTGTGTGGTGGTGGTGGGCGCCAATATTCCATCCATATCACGCCAAACAAACGAGTGATTCTGAGTAAAACAGGGGACCATCTTCAAGAATCTGACTGTGCCAATGGATCAAATGTGGTTGCATCTTACGACATGTCTCTCCTGAACCAAATAGACGGAGCGAAATGTCCAACACCAGGTTAATATATGTTAGAGGTGAAATGGGCTGGTACTCATGTCTAACCAAACAGAGACTGGAAGACTTTCGTTACTTCATAAATCTCAACAGAATCGAACAGACAGACAGCTTCATGACGTTTTAAACTGCAGTAAACGAAGAAAAAAGTCCTTTTTTAACACTGTTTTCAATAATAAATCTTTCAACATACATGATGTCATTTTCTCACAAGGCACAGACAAACAGGTTATATCTACGATGTTTAAAGAACTGAAGGAAATGGACGAATCTAGCTGGTTTGCAGAACTGTGGAGCGATACAAGAAACCCGCAAAATGGAAATAAACTTCGTCACAACCGTTTGATTAAAAAAGATTTGGTGACTGAATTATATGTTCAAACGATTATGTCCAGACAGCTAAGAAAATACACTGCAAGATTTAGATGTGGAAGCCTCCCCTTACATATACAACAGGACGGCACACCAGACCTCCCACCCCTTTAGAGTTAAGACTCTAAGTTTAGTACAGATGTTGAAACTGAAGTTCATATTTTTTCTGAATGTAAATTTTATGATGACCTGCGTAATAACCTTAGTCTTTACCTCTACCATGCACAGGGGCCTACAGATCTCTTTATCAAATTGTCAATTGAAAATAACCCGAAAATGATTAAATGTATTTATACTGTAATTAGAACCATGTATACTAGACGTCAATTATTTCTGTGATTCTATGATAGTGTCTCATAAGCCAAAAAATGGCTGGTTGTTAAGATTTTTTGCTTATGCTATAATCATGATTTTAAAGTGTATTCTTAACTTGTGACACTTTAATAAACTATTTCTGTCTGTCTGTGTGGTTTGAGTACACTAAAGGCTTTGGTAAAAAAAAGCCCACAAACCTCGTTATATTTTTATTTTATTTTCATGAGAACTCCAGATTACGTTCTCATTTAAAATTCAAGAGAAAAGTACAGGCGCTGCCCTGGGTGATCGCATACTTGGGCTTCATGTATGTCCAAGCTTAATCGACTTATGTACACTTAAATACGTTTAATACATTTCCTTAGTTTTGGGACCGCCTCCGTGGTGTAGTGGTTAGAGCGTCCGCCCTGAGAGCGGAAGGTCGCGAGTTCGATCCCCGACCGCGTCATACCAAAAGACGTTAAAATATGGTACTTGTTGGTCTCTGCCTGGCGTTCAGCATTAATGGGTACAACAAGCACTGGTCGGCTCGGAGTCAGTATAATTTTTGGCCTGTGCGTTGATGTTTCATTATCAATAAAACTCTTTGAATAATTCTTTAAACGTCATTTACTTTAGATGCTAAAACTTCCGATTCAAGAGGTGACACTGTAAATATGCGATGAAAAATACAATTTTCTGGGAGAGTATATATTTGCATCACTTTAATAATATAATGATACTGGGTGTGTGTGTTTGTAAACTCTTAAAAAGAAGAAACGCAGAGGCCAAAAATAAGGAAATGAATTAAACGTATTTAAGTGTACATAAGTCGATTAAGCTTGTACATAGATGAAGGAAATTCGACACACGGATGAACATATGTATTGTTGTCATTGTCAGCATGTGTGGACACAAGGGGGCGTTCAGATCAAGGGGGCGTTCAGATCTGGTGACACCACCCCTTGCAGTCATCACTGCTCGACACCGCATTGGAAGGGATTGCACAAGTCATCGGAGAAGTGGGGAACTCCTCCTGCACGACGTTGGCAAGTTCTGCAAGTGTCTGAGGACGATGATGACGTTTACGGATGCGTCAATCGAGTTCGTCCTACAGATGTTCGATCGGGTTCAGATCAGGCGATTTGGAAGGCCAGGGAAGGACATTGACGTTTGGATTGGCGAGATAGGCACCTGTTACACGAGCTGTGTAGGGTCGAGCGTTGGCGTGTTGAAACATCTCCCTCTGGCGGTTAGAAGTGGGAGGAGTCGAGGTCGCAGTATTTCGTCGATTGTGTTGAACCACCACTAGCTCTGATCGACCCGTGTAGGACATGATTCCCCACACCATAACGCTTTCTCCACCAAATCTGTCCACCTGTCAAACGCAGTTCGGCGCAAAACGTTGGTGCAGGAGGAAACGCGATTCATCGCTGAACCAAACGCGTCGCCAGTTCCCCAGGTTCAATGCCTGTACCATGTTGCAGCATTGGACATCTCCTTGTCGGTGAAGTTGTGTCAGGACAGGTCCAAAATTTTGCTCGATATGTTCGAATTTCCACTTCTCTCAGACGATTTCTAATGGTTTGGTCGGAATTTCTACGAAGACCAGGCACATGTCCTGCAGTGTCCATCGCTGTAGCAAATCGGTGACGTGGGTGAAACACCCGGATGAATCGGTGCTGATCAGAAGTGGCCTTAGTCTTCCACTTCTGGGACGATCTTGGGTCGAATTGAAGCGGGTGTATCGATGCCATAACCGTGATATGGTGCCGGGGTGGACGCTGAAGTGTCTTGCAACGGCAGGCTGGGACTCCATTGCTTCCAAAGTCGGATATTTCGGTCAGTAGCATTCAATCATGGCATTTTTTATCTTCGTTTACGTCGCAAATTTTGTAATTAAACGATGAATTTGATTTGGCCTTTTATAGTCGATAGAAATGAAATGCTGAAAACGCTTGTGCGTTTCTCTTCTTTTAAAGAGTGTATATTATGTTAAGAGCAAACACTACAATTGATATATTCGACTTTTGTCGGTACAAATTTAATCCATTGATCCCGTATTGAGAATGTATCGTTTATTCAGATTTTCTGGTAACACATTTTGCTTCCAGCTAAGCTTTTCAGTCAAAGTGTCACAGCAAACAATGGCTAAGCCGTTCAAGGAATAGTATTTTAGACATTGACAATTTAATTAAATATGACACGCAGCTGCTCGTCAAACGATGCAATCCCATGTTCTTTCCTTGCTCATTGACCCGTGAAGGCCCGGGTTAGAATACTTGCCTTCAGTAACCAATGCTTGTAAGAAGCGACTAACGGGATCGGGTGTGGTCAGGCTCGTTGACACATGTCATCGGTTCCCAATTGCGCAGATCGATGCTCATGTTGTTGATCACTAGATTGTCTGGTCCAGACTCGATTATTTACAGACCGCCGCCATATAGTTGGAATATTGCTGAGTACGGCGTAAAACTAAACTCACTCACTCCTTGCTCGTTACACTTACTTTGAGTGGTCAAGCTCGGACAGCTGGTTAAGAATTCTTAAGCACCCTAAACATTCTTATAAATACGGCCCAAGTTTTAAGTCGGATCTTCACGGATCTTCGTAGTAATTGATCCCAGAAACCAAAAGCTGCGAAAAATACTGCTGACATGGCGTTAAGCACCATTCACTAAATTTATTATCCAAAACTACTTATTATTGTTTTGTCTTTTTTGTAACGCATATTTATACACTCTCAGCTTAATGAATTTCAATGATTTTGTGAAACCTGCGGTAAATCAACAGAGAATTTCAATATATTCTTGGCAGTTGACGTTTCCAAGGGCATTGTTGGTTGTCAAATATCCTGAACGTAGTTCTACCTATTTCTGTATTTGTAACAGTCCCCTTAAAACATTTTCCGCCTTAAATGAAAACATCATTTCAGCACAAACACTATAAACATATCTATTTTGTCTAACGTTCTTTGATTCTTCCAGTAACAAACTTTTTCAAATATTTCCAATAATATTGATGTTCCCTATATGTTGGGGAGTTCAACAGTGTATGCATTGAATTCAGAAGTCGATGAACGAAAAATTGCTTATTCTCGGATGTGAGTTCTTCAGTATTGGAAAATACTTGCGTTTAAGAATCAAAACACAATCACTGAATCACCTTATATTATTGTCCTGGGGCGGAAGCGTCACATGTCTGTATTGGTAGCGAAGCGTCTTTGTGTTGATTCTGTTTAAGCCTTCTTAGACCGACCCAATAAATAATAATAGTAGTATTGTGTTTCTTTGTTGTAAGTTAATTCAGTTTGTTAATAAGTAAGTATAAGATGGGTTTTTCGGTGTTCAAAACAGAGTTTGGTGAAGATGGAGTTTTGGCTCAACACTCGAGTCGTAGACATTGTAGATCAGAAGTAGCAGAAATATATAAATGCTCGATCGGGTTCAGATCAGGCGATTTGGAAGGTCAGAGAAGGACATTGACGTTTGCATTGGCGAGATAGACACCTGTTACCCGAGCTGTGTGGGGTGGAGCGTTGTCGTGTTGACAACAGCTCCCTCTGGTGGAGGTGAAGTCGCAGGATTTGGTCGATGTGTCGTTTTGCTGTAAGAATGCTTTCTACCATCACTAGATTTGCCCGTGTAGACATGTCTCGCCACATCATGTCGCTACTTACACAAATCTGTCCAAATGTTGAACGCAGTTCGGCGCCAAACGCGATTCATCGCTGAACCAAACGCGTCGCCAGTTCCTCCCAGGTTCCATGTACGGTTGTACTAATGCCTACAGTGAATAATGCCTACAGGGAATAATATAGCTACAACGTTTGCAGTGACACAGCGATACGCTTACCTGCACACAAGTAGATTGTTCCACTTAGTGTGCACCATTGCCTACAAAGGGATTAGGGGAGGCCAGCAAGGAGAGTAAAGAGTAAGATCACGAGTATTAAATCGTTAGCTAG